CAGTGTGAGTACAATACAGTGAATGTTATGGCGGTTTATTTAGCAGCTGTGTGATGAGAACCCCATCTCACTACCTAAATGTCCTGAGTTAGCTTTCAGCAAACATCTATTGAGCACCGACTGCACCCTGGGCACGATGCTGGGTGCTGACAACTCTCGCTCCGAAGGAGCTCCAGACCTGGAGGAGGATTCGGATAAATAGATTATTAGAATGCAGAGCGGTAAGTGCAGGATCAGGTAGACACAGGGCCCCCTGGAACACAGGGGTGGTGGAAGACTTGCTGTGGGAAAAGACATCTAAGCTGGGACCCAGAGAGCCGGAGGTGGGTAGCCAAGTACAGGTGGCGGGGATGAAGAGCAGCTTTCTAGCTGAAGGCACAGTGTGTTGGCAGTGAGAGGGTCTGAGGTCCGAGGCATCATGCCGCCTGGACAAAATTCACGTGCTTCTTTTATGGAATTAGTCATTCATTTGAGAGCCCCGAGGCTCCCACCACATTTCAGCTGGGTGTTGGGGATCGAGCGAGGAAGGCACAGGTGACCCCTGCCCTCAGAAGTTCAGAGTCTGGTGGGACAGATGGACACACTTAGGACCAGCTTCTGTAAACGTGTCTAACAGAGGACAGGAGAGGGAGGAGAAATCAGGAAGGGCGGGTGGGGTGGGCCGCCTGGAGCAAACACACTGTGCAATTCAGTCTGCCACAGAGAGAGCTTCTGCCGGAGAATGTGGGGGTCATTACCTGAGAACAGACTGGCGCGGGTGAGAAGAGGTGGACCTGGGACTTGGAGGGAGGGTGGGAGGCAGGCTAGAGATGGAGGCTAGGAGATTCAAACAAATCAGAGTGAGGCAGGCAGGATGATGTGCGGGAGAAGACGCGCATACGAGGCACTTGAAGTGCAAGACTGAGGAGCACAGAACCTGGCCTAGGGAGGGAAGGGTCTGGGCAGCAGAGACCCCAGCACCTGAGTGACAGGTGCAGTGTGCCACCGGCAAGAACCTCAGCTTCCACATGCCAGCCTCTCTCCAGTTACTCCATCCCGGAGCCCGAACTGGAGTCAGAGAGCATGGAGAGCTGAGACTGTCACATCATTTCTGGGACCACTTTCCTGGGAGCCTATTAAAATGCTGGTCCCCAGGCCTAGTCCCAGAATTTAGCTCAGAGGTTCTGGAGAAGAAGCACTTTTTGCAGGTTCCCAGGTGATACTTATGCACACAAGGGTGTGAGATGCTTGGGGTGGAAGCTGAGGCGGGATAATGTACCTG